CTTCTGACAGGTCAGTGGTGATGTCCTATAGTTATCACAGAGTATGTTTTGAATGTTGAAATTACGAGTCAATGCTCCAGTGACCGAAGGCTGTTGTGCCGATTTTGATGTCATGGCCGTTGTGGATAACTCGCGTTGCTAGGCCTATTCGGTTGAACGCCCTCGGAATAGTTAGCTGGGCCACGACGCGGCTGTAATCACTTTGAATTGCACGCGCAGCGTTTATGATCGCAAGGATTGCATGTCTTCATGTGAATCTCGCTATCTAAATCGTTACTTCATAATAACTGCATGACATTGTATGTTGAAATTTGATTAACCTGCTACAAATTTCAGGTGGTGTTTAGAATTACAATTCAAATATTTGTGAGTGTTATATTCGAAAAAAGAAGTTAAAAACATTTCAAACTAAGTTGTAACTGACGCTAATATGGAAATTTTTGCGCTATCCTCTAGAGATGTAAGCTTTACGTATTCAAGTGTATTCTAAAGGAATTGAAAAATAAAACAAAAACGGCAATGTTTTTATACAATGTTTAAATGCGAAATATTTTAGCATTTCGAGGCGAGTTATTGAACTTGACTCGAATTTCGTGCGCCGTTCTAGGTCATTATCAAACAGGTGACGTAAAATGATATGATAAAAAATAATCTCTTTGTCTTCGCGACGCACAGATGTTATCAGTGCCACAGCAAATATTTAATTAGCTGATAATAACTAAAGTAGAACGAAAGATGACAAAGTCTGTTTGAAATTCAGCCTGATTACCATGGAATTGGGTTTATTTTTGTTAAATTATTGTAAAATTTCATAGGTTTGCAAAAGTTTAGGTAATGATGTTAGATGTTGTACAAATAAGAATTAAATTTATTTAGAATTTTAGAAGCACTGCATGTTTTAAGGTGTTTATTATGGATTCGTTTTATTTTTTTTAACATAAATTTACTTTATGATGTAAAAATGTACCTCTACCCACCTAAAGCATTTTATATTCAAATACGTGATTCTTTTAAAGGAAGTCTTTATGTAGACAAGATTGGATGATGTAAGTATATGACTTTATGTAAAAATTAACTACTTATCATTTATTTCAAATATTTCAGAGCCAACACGTTCTACAAGTGGGTAATCTGTGTTTTATAAATACGTTAATTTTGAGGTTAATTAACAATTGCGAATAAAATGACAATCAATGTCACAGACAAAAAAAGCTTACTCACTATTCAAACCAATCTAAATATTATAAAATATATAATATATTTATAAAAGATGTAGTTCTGGTGGATTTTTTTATTTTTAGGACATAAATGTACTATGGCGTCCTACATGATATCTTTGCAATGTTTCGTCAAAATATGTCTAACATACATCAATGTAAACCAATCTGTCTGCGTTTTACGTTTTTGTTATACTAGCTTTCGCCCGCGACTCTGTCCGCGTGAAGTAAAAAAGTGAGTAGCCATGTGTTCTTCCAGACTATCCTCTACATCTATACGAAATCAGATTAGTTGGTTACAAATCGAACTAAACTTTCACATTTATAATATTAGTGAAATTTATTATGCAACTATATTAAGTTTAGTTTAACCGTAACACATTTGGAGCAAATATTCAATACTGATATAGATAATGTAATATGAAGTGGTCATTTGTGGGTCATATGTTGGCTGATAACATGACATACCATCAAATGTAAGGTGTGGCTTGTGGGTTGATTTGAAATACGTTTTATTTAGGTTAGAGTTGCTCGCAACTTTGTACGGAATTTGTTAATGAATTAAAATTAAATTAATAGGGAAACATTGAAGGGATCATCGACGCCTATGGATCTACAGTTGCGTTGCCGGCTTTTTATCTATCATACTTCATACTTATATTATAAATGCCAAAGATTAGATTTATGGATGGATGGATGGATGTTTGTTAGAGTTTGCAGGCTAAACGGCTGAACAGATTTCAATGAAATTTGGTGTATGGATGTAGATTAGTTTGGAAGGAAACATAGGCTCACTTTTGTTTTTTTAATTGCACGCGAACGGAGTCGCGGGCGAAAGCTAGTAATTACACTATAAAAAAAAATAGTATTTGCTTCGATTACTTTTTATGTAATAGGTTTGTTAGTATAGTTTTTTTAATCGTATTTAGTTTAATTTAAAGGTGTTATAGGTATGTAGGAACGTCACAATAGCCGGATACTCTTTACCAAATTTAGAGATCCGGTTTTGAATTCCGGATGTGCCAGCGGATACCTGCGTTAGGCTGGTTTTACCTGCCTCTTCTATATAAGATACTAGCTGTTCCCGTGCGACTACAACCGCATAAAATTATGAAAATGTTATTTTATTGTTTACATGTGTCAAATTATCAATTGCAAATGTCAAAATGACATGTCGATGACAAACCATGGCATCCTTGCTTCCTTGATGTTGGCAGCGACTTATGGTCTCTTTCCCACATTAGGGTTTTTATCCAAAATATTTACCCCCTAAGTTTAATGGCGTGAAATATATAGCCGAAAGCGTGACGTAAGTGTAGCTCTTTTTATTAAAAAAAGAATTAATCAAAAATATACTGTAATTGCTGACATCTCAGGCAACAAAGAAGTGTGTGTTTAAAATAACGATAAACTAAAACTTTTCTCTACCTTCTTACTATATCTTACTAACTAAAACATTTTTTAGTTTAGTATGAAGATGTCCGTACTATAAAAAAGGAATTACATATAGTTTGTGCACATTTATGCGTCTTTTCTCAGTAAATCGTTTCTCGGCGGTGGGCACTAAACGCGGTGCATTTCGTCAGACGCGTGTTTGTTTCTATAAAAATTATCAGAGGTCAGTAAACTGCGCGATGCACTTGCCAGCCCCCGCCGCCCGCGAG